AATTATAAAGAATACACAAAGTTTAAATCATGTCTGAAGAGTAAGATCAACATTGGCAATAGCATTTGGTCCCCAGGGCATTTTGATACAGTGACATGAGTAATATAGCTGCGTGGCTAACACAGGACACAGTGCTATAAATGCAGTATTAAATAGAATGTTTGTAGTGAATAAACCATCAGCCATCCTATCCAAAGACTTGCACATCTTTGAGTATACCTCAAAGTTATTCCATGTGTAAGAATAGGGGATTTCTTGATTTGGTTCACTTGTCTTTTTTTTAAAATTCATTTGTAGATTTGTGTATAAAAGGGTGACTAACTGGATGATGCAACAAAAATAAATACTTGTTGATTACTGCTCAAAACATATTTCCAAGGTGTAGATTTTTTTTTGAAATAGACTTGCAAAGATATTTATTAAAAAATGAACATTTCTGAAGCTTTCATTCTATCAAGTATAACTTAAGAATGTATAGGATAATATTGTGATGAAAATTGTAAAACATACTGTGCCAGCCACTCTGAGAGCAAGCTGAAGAAACATATTACAACTTTAATGTTTTCAAATGGCATCTGATCAAGAATGATTAAATAACTTAAATTGACACAGATCTGCTAAATAAGAATCACTAACACAGACATAATTGGTTTTAAAAAATAAATATATATCTGTATTTGTTTTATGGTAAGTTCAAAGTCAAGGTAAATATCACAGCAAGCATAAATCAGATGGTCTCCAAGCCTCATCTCAAATTAATTGGGGGGGGGGGGATTATTTTATCTAAAGGAGAAACAAAATGAACTTTTTAAAAAAATGATAAGATGAAATTAAATAAATTTAAAAAACAATTCATTTACCTTTCAAAATATCGTAGTTGAAAATGTGACTCTCCACTGAATGGAAAACAGAGGAAAACTTATCATTAAACTCCCCATCTTCCTTTAAGGTTAAAGAACTGTCATTTTATGATTATTTTTGTTTCACCTTGTGAAATAAATAGCATGGTTTATCACTAGGGCTTTCAAAAAATATTTTTTTTTTAAATTTGCCTGGGTACACTTTGAGCTACTGAGCTAATACCCAGGTACCTTTAGTGTATTGGTGTAGCCTGATTTTTGCCATCAAAACAAAGCTTGCACTGTGCACGATTTTTGTCCACGAGCTTGGGGCGTACAACCACACTTTTGAAGTTATTCTCATTCCAAATGGTGTATTTAATGAGCACAAATTGTATTATTAACAAAAATGTTTCATTACATTAGTTTTAGTTAGGTTTCCTTTCAACACTATGGCCTATACTATAATATAAAAACAAGATTACATTAGTTTTAGTTAGGTTTCCTTTCAACACTATGGCCTATACTATAATATAAAAACAAGATTACATTAGTTTTAGTTAGGTTTCCTTTCAACACTATGGCCTATACTATAATATAAAAACAAGATTACATTAGTTTTATTTAGGTTTCCTTTCAACACTATGGCCTATACTATAATATAAAAACAAGAGAACCATGTTCAAAAGTTCAGTCTTTTGCCATTTTTGGACACTTCCAGCTTTTTTTTTTGTATTTTACCAAGGACACCCAAGAACAAACTTCACAGCCTAGGCAGTTGGCCTTACACCAGTTAGCCTAGGCAGTTGGCCTTACACCAGTTAGCCTAGGCAGTTAGCCTTACACCAGTTGACAGCTTATAATTTAACTTTCAAAAAAATTAAAATATAAAATCTCCAGCCTCACAACAGCAAACAATTACTGGCGTGCAAATATCGCCAACACCCCATTTTTACTTCAAGAAGGAAAAGTTAAATAAATTTCAACTAAGTATGTTAGGTAAGCTACCAAGGCGAACTCCAGCACTTGCGAAAAGCTAATTACAATTTAAAAAGTAAGTTGCGGAGGTAAAAAGTAATACAAAGTAGGAAATTATAAATTTCTTGCTGCTTTACACCATCATCTGAGACAACAGTTGCTAGGGTGGGACTTCCATATTGCTTCTACAAGACATTCTTATGGCTCCTGTGAAACCATGTTAAAATAGGCAAGAGATCATGTGTTCTGTGCTCAGCTAACACACACTAAGGGCAATTATCTAACAAAACTCAACAGTACAAGTAAGCTAAATAGGAGTAGCGCACTTAGCGAGGTGCTCTTTAAAAAAATTACAGATGACACTGACATTTGAATTTTTTTTAAAATAAACTCCATGTTATTTTAAGTATTCTAAGCTCACCAGATAGATCACTACAAACTCTAGAGGCTTCTTAGCTGGTGTGTTGATATTGTCAGAAGCATTGGGCAATTAGTTCTTTATTTTTTCAATATTTTTGCAGTGATCAGCTGTCATAAGTTAATGAACATGACAATGTGCCTCTTATACTTCTTGTGTACTGTATAACAATGGCGGCCCTACATTTTCCCTGTTTCCTGCATCTACAACACCACCCAGCAGGAGAAGGATATCACTAACCAGGATGAAAAGAGCAAACATGAAAGGCTATGATCAAGTTAAAAAAAAGCAAACTATGACACTTGAACCAACACAGGCACAAAGAAGAAGAATGTTGCACTTAAGAAAATCAAGGGTCACCGTAAGAAAAGGCAAAAATGAAGTGTAAACCAGGCTTTTCTGCTGAGTAAAATAAAGTTATTGCAATATCCTCATAGGGTTACAACAAGTCTATCCTTTTGATACAGGCAATGTGTTCAATGTTTACAGTCAAGTGGTATCAAAGAGTGCTCATCAGCTCTACAAACAGCACAAGAAGCAGATCAAAAGAATTGATGTTTTGCATTGGTTTCCTTCTGGTCATCACACAATTGATTCAATACAATTTTACAAGTGTTATTTTGTAGACTCAAACATGACATACTCTATTTTTTTACAAATAAAAAAATGAACAGTGTTTGTCAACACATTGATACGAACGACTCAAGTTTTGTTCTCCAGTGAGCCAACAGTTTGAAAAAGATGTTCAAAAAATTGCCTTTTGGGAACGTGGGTTGATTTGAGAAATAAAGATTAGAAATTAAATAAGTAGGTTTTTGGTTGTTTTTTTTTAAATTTCTTTGTTTCTTTTCAACAGAAGAGAATGAAACATGATGTATCTTAAAACACTTCAGGACCAGTAACTGCTATTAAAAAGCTATGACTCACTTGTAAATGGTTGTTACCTTTCCTTGCATTCCCACACACAAGGGGGCCAATTAAGAGTAAAAAAAAAGTTTACTTCAAACTATATCAGGTGCCCATGTATGTATATAAACCTTTAAGGACAAAAGACCCCCCCCCCCCCCCCACTTTTCATATGTTTTTTTTTTACATCATTTGCTGCCTAATGTAAAAATAATCTACATTTTTTTTAGCATGCATTTAATAAAGAAGTGGTAGCAATGATAAATCTAACAGAAATGGAATGGATAATTCTCATGGAATAACATTACTAGAAAATCTTGAGTTTATTTATAGTCCAGAGGGGGGTGTCACTCAGAGCATTAATATGGACTTCATTTTTAGCCAATGGATGCAATTATTTGAAAATATTTAAAGTCTCACAAGACAGTTTTTTTCAAAATCAAATTTAAAAAAAATATGTAATAGTTTAGTTGTTCCCTTAAAATTCTGCGATCAAACGCTTTGCAACAGCTCACTCACAGTACATGTAGTAAGAAACTTTTTAACTATTGATGTTTTCTTAAAGATGAACTCTGAAAAAAATCAATATGCAGGGAGCAACAAAATCAGGACATTTTATAAGTTATGTGATCATTAAGGTACTTGCATTTCCAGTACATGTATATACTATTAAATATATATAGCAGGGGTCGGCAAACCCAGAGCATGCTTGCAGACTTGACATGCATAGCAATTTACATTGACACTGAGAAGACCCAAAAAATAGTTATAAATGACTAAAAAATGAGTCTTAAATGGTAAACATATACGTTATTGGAACGCTGAATGAAATAGAATACTTACATTGGCATTCTAACGCCAAAATGTTACCGATCCCTGTACTACAAGACCAAACAAATTTGAGCTAATTTTATACATTCCTTGAGATAAAATGCAGCAAAATGACTACACATCAAATCAATGTAAATAAAATGTATTTAAGTACTTCAGCATTAAAAAGTATATAAACCAAAACTAACACCTAAATATGGTACAAACGTGTGGGCAAACAGCTGCATTCAAGACTTCCTCTTTAAGATTCAATTCATCAATTTTTGCCCCACAGTTTCCTACCTGGCTATGGTTGAATCAACCCTTGCTTGAATCAATTAAAATCATTTTTGGGCTGCCTGTGGTGAAATGGTAGATTGCCTGCCTCACAACCGGATTCAGATTCGTACAGGTTTGTCCCCAGCCATCGGCCACTAGTCTGTAAACCTGAGTGAAAATCCCTCACCCACCCCATCTCACCATGTAAGTAAACAGGTGTATTGAAGCTGACCAAAACAAAATTTTTTGCTGAAGTAGGAAGTTCTGGATCATCTTTGTATAAAGCATGGAACTATGCAAAATGGTTATAATCTTACCAGCTCAGTAACAGTCGTAGAAGAAATCCAGAACAAGCCAAATAAACAAGTTTTTCTATGGGGGTTAAATAAAAGAATAAAAATACTGCTTATAACTTATTGCTCACTCATATTACTCAATCATTTTGTAAGGTAATCTAGACGAAACATGACAAAAATTTTTTATTATATCTATCAATTTTTACCTTCTTATTTCTTTCATGAACACAACCAGACCTACAGTTTCCTCATTAACCAAAATATCACAAAGTTGCATTGGCAGGATTTAAAACTGCGAGTTTTACACAAGACTTAAGCCTTTTACCTTGTCATTTCAGTACATAAAGCAACATAAACAAATATTGTACAATAGACCATTGAGTCATGTTGCATTTTAAAGCTTAAGCCACAAGGAAAATGTCTACATAAATTAACAAAGAAAAGAGGAAAAGTAATTTAACATAATGCAAAGTAGATAAAAACAGTTTAGGATTTTAAAAAAATTACTTTAAAATCTGATCATATTATTGAAATCTGATCATATTATTGAAATCTGATCACCATTCCTTCAACCTGTCAATGTGAGAAGTCATTTCTTTCACCTGGCCTGACAGCTGGATAACTTATCCAATCCCATTAGGTATCCACCTCTGGTCTGAACACTTGGGACAGCTTTCTTGTGTAGAGCTTGGCGGCCACAGAGGCATAGCTGCGTATATCACATAGATCAGACTCAACCTGCTCCCAGCACTTTCGAGACAAATCAAGTCGACAGACAACATTGTACCTGTAAATCCTGAAAGGTGAACGTTGGTACTCTGACGTGCCCATGGCATAGACACAGCCATTGACATGCATCAGACCAACATTGTACATCTCTTCTGTCAGTTCAGGACCCTGCCTCCACTGGTTGGCTTCAACATTGTAAATTTCACAGGAGCGCAAGGCATCTCGACGGATCACATTGGTGGAATGGGAATAGATCTGGCCCCCGGCCACAAGAATTTCATTGTCTATCACACAAGCACCAAAATTGAACCGCGGCGTCGGCATCCCTGCAAGAGAGTTCCACTCATTCTTTCGCGGGTCAAACTTCATGACAATATTGTGAGCACCCACCCCCGTCCTGCCCCCCAGCAAGTAGATCTCTCCGCGCAACACAACAGAACTCAAGTCCACAAGGGTTGTTGGCATCATCCCGACATAGTTCCACTGATTCTTCTCAATGTCGTATGTCTCCACGATCTCTGTTGGGTGCTGGTTCAACGTCAGGCCGCCAAAGCTATAAATTTTATTATCCACTGAGGCTAGGGTGAAATTTGATTTTGGAAATAGCATGGGTGCTCTGGCCACCCATTTGTTGTGATCATTGTCATAGAAGTAAACATCCTTCCGCACAGACTCTTCATCTTCAAAATCATCAAAGGATACAGAATCCTCCTCTGAGGGGGACTCACCATAGTTTGCATGATAGATGTAGTTTCCCCCGGCTGCATATATAGAGTTATCTTCTGTGACAATGACAGCTGGGTCCTCAACACAGTAATACCTGGCACGCTCTTCACATTCAGGGAACGTTGCCATGAAAAACGCCTCCCGCGTCAAAGGGTTGTAGCAGTTAATGGCTGACGGCTTATTCTGGTCAATACCCCCAACCAGCAGGATACAGTGTTCCGGCTGGATCATGCCAGAGCGCAGTGGGAATGGATCTTTGGTGTTGCTTGCACTGTACACTTTCTCTGGGTTCTCCAAGAACATGCGAATGTTGCGGATGAGCACCCGCCCTTTCTCGCTCTCCAGCAGCACTGGGTTCTGGTACACCACATCGGTTAGGAACTTGACGCCCACCAGAGGAAACCTGAGGTGCAGCATGAGCTCACCCAGATGCTGCCTGCGATTTTTCATGTCGTGGCTCACCCACGTGACTACGGCCTCGTACACCGTCTCTTCTTTCTCAACGTTCAGCTCATCTGAAGACACAATGTCAACAATTTTGTCCAGAGGGAGCTCCAGGAACTCTTCTGTCCGGCACACTGAGGTGAAGTTTTTTTCTATGAACTCTTTGGCTTTTGTGCACAGTTCCTCACAGTTGTGCACAGAGGCAAAGCACTGGATGCCCACACAGTTGGACTCATCCAGCTGGGACTCCATGAACTTGGCACAGGCTTTCTGCACAGCTGACATCTGCAGCAAGGAGGCTGTGCTAAGAAGACTCTGGGCATTTGCTGATGTGATTTCCAGTTTCCCTGAGTAGGCATAGCCAATCAACAAGCGTATGGCATCTGGATCTGTCTCTCTCAGCCAGACCTGGTTAGAAAGAAAGCGTACTGGCACTTAATCACTGAATATTAGATTTCCCACAGACTATTACTCAAAAGTAATTGCCATTAAGTAAATAATTTTATAATCCAGGAAATTTTCAAACAAATACAAGTAGAGTTTTCTTTATTTGTGTAAAATAATAATTATATTAAATTTGATAATAAAAGTGATAAGTAAGTTCTGCTGAATTATGTAGGTTTACAGAAATAATATCTCAAAGCAAATATAAGATTTTTTCAACAAACCAACCGGCTTAAAAAGAATTTTATTGGAAAATTAAGAACCCTAAATTATTTTCAAAATGTTAAAATTTAAAATAATGTATTATCATGCAGGGATGACCTGGGTAGTTCAGACAACATAATAAATACAACTTACCTCTTGCTGCCTAGATTCATGAAGGTCTGATGTAAACATGGCCCTGAAGTAGGGACTAGCTGCAGCCAGGACGGCTCTGTGACATGGTATACGGTGATTCTGTATGCACATTGTCACATCCACCAACAGACCTTCCTCAAACATAGACTTGAGCTCCTCCAGAAGCTCTGTCTGGTGCTCCTCACAGTCTAATGTTGTGCGTTCCATTGCGTTCGTTCTGGACCATTCAATAAAGTTCCAGTAATTAATAATGACCCCAACTCCAGTCACCTGTTCATGCCTCAGATTAGCTCACATCACTTAGACCTGCATGCCATCAGCTGCAACTGCAAAAAAGTGTGAAGCTCACAATCATGAAATTGTTTAATGCTCACAAGCCTGGAAAATATAAATACACAAATTAACAGCGGTCAGATTGATGATGGCACACTTTTGGAGTTGCAAAGTAATAATCAATGAAGCAAAGCATAAATAAATTACACATTTTCAGAAGATATATAAATATAAATAAATAAAAAGCCCTCTTTTTCACAATGAATAAAATAGGTTTGATAAAACTGATACAACATATGTATACAAAGCCCTGTTATAACATTTTTATGACACTATCACATATGCCAGGGCTGTAAAGAAAAATGATAGCTGTTGGTACTAGAAAAGGTACAATAACAAGGGAGGAGTTGAAACTGATGTTTTTATGATAATACAAGGAAGACATGGCCTGGGAACCAGGCTGATTAAGAGTACATCAGGTGGTCACTAAGAGACTGTGGAAAGAGGATATAGCTGGGAAGATGTAGTGGTAGTGATTAGTAATTCAAGATTTTTTGGCATGATGAAGGCTAGATGTAAGTTTGAAGCTTTGGGGACACCAGTTAGCCAACCGTGTTGAGCAAAGAGTTAAGTTGAGATATTCCAGGTGTGATAGTTAAACTATTGAGTCAAGTTGAGGTAGTCAGACCTAATGACAATTAACAGTTGGCTGCGGCTATTCGGACCCGGGTCCGAGAAGTGAGAGTTTGGGTTTATTAAAAAATATTTTAAAATTATTGTAGGGTTTGTAAGACAAAATTAGGTATCAAATGAAAAATAATTGAATGGACTATATTTTTGTAAACTTACTTCTTCAGTTTAACTAGAATAAACTACCAAAACGACATCTGAATAGCATTTAGTCAAAATGGAACCAGATACGCATCGCCGCTATTCGGACCCGGGTTCCTTAAGACTCAATGCTATTCGCATGTCATTTGTGGTAGTTTATTTTAGGTAAACTGAAGAAGTAAGTTTGCAAACATATAGTCCATTCAATTTTCTTTCATTTGATAATAAATTTTATCTATGCCTTTCTAGCATTATGCTTTTTCACTTGCTGTGCTGTAAGATAAAACAGTTTTTATTTCTGTATATTTGATTTTGTATTTGTATTTCATTTTAATAGTATAATTAAATTTATTAGTGTTAATATCACTAGCTTTGTTATCATTTTTCTGTGTTGATAGGTTTTCAGTCCTTTGTTACATATTGTTCACATAATGAGCCAAATCTTAAAACAGATTAAATTTGTAAAACCATATCAACTCAATTATGGATTTCATAAAATGTTTTAATTTAGGCCAATATACAAACCAAAAAAAATTAAGTTTATAAACAAAAAATTAAAGAGACTACTGATAAGCAGGTACCGTTTATTTCTTTTCGACCCCATGACAAGGACTTGTAAGCAAATATGATCCCTGGACCAAAAATTTTAACTAATAAAGAGAAGCAAGACAGGATAGGACATACTTATTTCTTAAATGCAAAATATTACCAGTATGGACCAACATAACTGAATGAATTGTCCGTTATTGCGGCTTCAATTTCTAATAAAACAGTATAATTAATGGTTATGTTGCTTACATAGGTTAATCTGAATGTACCACTGTGTCTAGTTGATTGGATTGTGATAAAATTAGTTGTTAAAAGATATCAGCTTTGGAATAAATACAAATAATGTGGACAACAATGTGGTTAGCAGAAGAAAAAAACATGTGCCAGAGAGGCTTTATCTTTCATTTGAATGAAAATTCTGTGCTAGGTTAATTGTCATATTTCTCTTTATCTGAAGAAGAAAAAAAACAAATCCATGTCTTGAATAATTAAAAAGATCTTATAGCCTTAGTCATTTTACTTCCTCAGAAGAATTAATGAGGCCGTTACAAACTTTGTTGATAATGCTCATTTTTCTCCGGCAGCAATATGATGATTTAACTCAGCATGCTGTTAAAACTGCAATGTTTCCAGACATTTTTATTTGAGTTATTAAATAGAAAATCTAGGACTGATTGTGCTGCAATTTCTAATAAATATGAGCTATCTATAAAGACATAAATTGTCATATACATAATATATAATTGTTTATTTTTACCCAATGTGTTGTTTTTTTTAAATATGTTAAAATTAATAATCTCCTCTTATTTTGATTGCTGACAATAATGGTATTTCTTGCATGTCTCATGAAACAATAGACTTTTCTATATTTTGTTGTTTTTTTTATGATAAAAATTATAAAATCTCACTATTTTTAAATTTATTAAAGCATTTTAAAAATAGTTTTATGTACAGTTATATGTTTTTATTTGGAAATTTAATTAACGTACAGCATAGCAAGTGAAAAAGTAAGCAAATAGACCTATTATATGCAAAAGATGCAAATAGACCTATTATATGCAAACACACATAAAGAGTAAAATCTAATAAGTATATTACATCTTGTAAATGTCTAGGAAAAATGGAAAAATTTCTCTCCCAGCTAGGAAAGCTGCTTGCTTTAACCAGCTTATTTATAGGGAGAAAGTAGGTACAAATTAGACCATATTCGAATGTAAACAACCTTTTTACATTCTATAGAGGGTGAACAAAAAGTATTGGCGGTACACATTTAATGGATGATGTCAATATCAAAACAAAAGATGGGGGAGGGGGGAATTATTGAATACCACGGCTTGTGATGAATAAAAACTAGGTCAACAAACAGGCTGTAACAATAGGTAATTTAACAAAATATTGAAAAATTACTTGAAAATTTTATGTGTTGTAAAAATGGATACCATTGATAGAAATAATAAAGATTTTAAATTAGGTATCAATACAAATATTTTTCTGCTACCTATTTGTGGTATGTTGACATTTGTTTTTTTATAAAAAGCTTTATAAAAGCCTGTCATCCAAAACTATAAATAACTGTGATTGATAATTGGTATCAGATAATAGATCATTCAATTGTGAATCCAACTACATATAAAATGTTATTTCTGCTATGTTCTTCATTTAAGAACCAGTCAGATTGTCTGATAGACAGAAGAAAAAGTTACCTTCTCGATTTAAAGGAGTAAATTTATTAACTATTTTTATTTACATTCAAAATGTTTTATTGAATCTATTTATATGGAGAGTACAATTATAAATAATAAGTGGGTCAAAATTAGACTTAAATCCTATTGCCTATTGGTCTATTCAAAGTGACCTGAGGCATCACAAAGGTATCTATTAGGGTAAAGTCTGTATTTAGAAAATGAAAGCAGTATGTCAGTGACCAGTAGTTATGCATTTTTGAATTGACAGTGGTTAAATTTCTTAGACTTTGAGTCTATTTCTTGGTTCATGAAAAAAAAAAAAACGTGATGAGTCAAGAAACTATTGTTGGCATTGGACTCCTACAACTATAATTATAAATAATTATGTGCAGCATTAAACCAATGAGTCTAACAAAACTTTTTAAAACATAGTGTACTTTGACAGAAATTTTGAATAATGTCTGATTGCCATAAAAGATATGCCACATTAAAGGACTAGCTTTAACCTTTCCAAAAATATCCATTTCATCTTTCTAGCTTCTACAGAAGTGGGGTTATGATATTTTGGGTTTAAATTTTTTAAGCCCTTTATATTAACTATATATTTTACCCCAAAACATGTGACCCATTTTTCTGATTTCTGCAGTATTTTGACAGCAACTTTTTTATATTTAAAGATAATTGTACCAAATTTTCAGGAGACATTATCAATCTTACAGAGGACAATAACAGTTTTTATTATAATATTATGACCATAATTTTTCACGATTCAATATGAATTTAGATGAGGGAAAATTGAAAATTTGTTAAATGAAGAATGGTAAACTTTTAAAAATTAATTTAAAAAGTCAAGTGAAAATGAAAAATAACTGCAGGGTCTTTGGATTTTGAAGTAGTCTAGTTTTGTGTACTTACAGTTGTTTTTTTTAAAATAACTAATATTTTTAAGAAGGATGCATGATAAATAGTGAAGTGAAAAGTTGGGAGGACACAAAATGAACTCCAAAAAAATTGAATTAAGTGTATTTTCATTGATTATAATAATTATAGCATGCATTAAATCAATGTTAGAACTGTAAGTTAAAGTAAATTCTTTTTAAAAATTAATGCATACAATTATTAATTCAAAATGAAGAAAATCTACCTTAAAAAATTTAACAAAATTTCAAAATAAGACTATCTATATGATTATATGGCTAATGGGGATGTTTTTGCCGACACCCCCTTCCCATGGTACTGATTGAAATTGTTCTCTTGCGAATGCTTATGTAAACTATTATACGTTTTGCAATTATTTCAAATGTATTATTATAACTATTTTTTTAGAACATTTGTTGAACGAAAGTAAAATATTAGTAATTAAAAACAAACATTTCAAAGCAAAAAAAATTTCACAACTGTAAAAGTTGTGAAAACAATTTTAATTGAAATAATTTTAATTGTCACACTTAAATAATATTGTCTACTTGTACATAATTTTCTATTTTCGATGTCTGGTGAACCATTTTGGGCATGAATATTGATTTCCAGGGAATGAATTATTCACTTTAATACAGCTAGTTAGTTTTTAAAAAAGATAAACTGTAATGCATGTCGGTCCAAATAAAGGCATAACTCTTATTAAAAAAAAAGTATTTGAAGATTAAAGATTAAATTCATGTTCGCTTTTCGTAACCTTTTCCAAAAGTGAAAGCAATTTTAATTTAAATAATTTTAATTGTCACATTTAAATAATATTGCCTACTTGTACACAATTTTAAGTTTATTCATGCCATAATCATAATAATGCTAAATTTTATGAAGATTTGTTCGGCCATTAAAAGTATTTTATATATAATACCATTAATATTAAAAGTGCGCAAGAACAACACTGCCGGAATGCCTAATTAATAAATGGCAGACTTTCTATTTCCGATGTCTGGTGAACCATTTTGGGCTTCAATATTGATTTCCAGGGAATGAACTATTCACTTTAATACAGCTAGTTAGTTTTTAAAATGGATAAGCTGTAATGCATGTCTGTCCAAATAAAGGAATAACTCTTATCAAAAAAATATTTGAAGATTAAAGTTTAAAATCATGTTCGCTGTTTCACCATATCATAAGCATAAAACAAATACCCTCATTTCTTTATTTACATTAGCATGTTTAAAAAAAGAATCTACTCTTGATCATTGATAACAAAATCAATATATTTATAAATCGTTAAGATGAAAATAGAACTTAACGGAGGTCAATGAAAATCCCATATGAAAAGCGTAACACAACTACAACAAACTACGTAATTTTTCCACATGTGCCAATCACATGTGTGGTGATTTATCAAAATCAAAGCATCTTGTGTAAGCCATAGTTACAGACCTGTTTACCCTCAAACTCTTAAAATCGTACAATATTATCACCAAGTCATTAATACGTTATATTCATATTGAAAAAACATACAGTATATACAATCTATACACCTCAAAATTGTACATTGTACGCCAAAATCGTAAGAGTAAACAGGTCTGTAGTTACCATACCAACTCTTGGGTCAATTTTTTTTTGTGGGTCTAAGTCTAATTACTAACTCTTCAATTTTTCTAAATTTCAATTTCTTTAAAGTTAAAGTCTTTAACTTTAAACTTTAAGTAATACTTTAAAGTCTTTAACTTTAAGTAATAATTCTGATTGCATATCAGTGATGAGTATCATATTTTATAATATAGTATAATAATATATATATTATTTGGAATTATTATAAATTATTTTAAGATATTATAAATTATTAGTATAGAACTACTTATAATTTATAACTAGTATAGAACTATTTATAATTATAACTACTATTAATTTAATAGTAATAGAGTAAGTGTAAGTTGTAAAATAAACTTGAAAAAAAAAAAGAGGGCTAAATTTATAAATTGCAAATTATTTTAGATGGCCTTCCTTGATTCCTTACATAACAGTAGTGTAGTCAAATTTAAAATATATATATTTTTTTATATTGACAATGATCAATACTGAATATTGAAGAGTGAAAGTGGCATTAGTTAGTCATTAGTGGATAGGCCCAGATTAGGCCCTACTTAAGACTTAATGCTACTTACTACTTAGTAAATTAGGCCTCGGCGTAATAATTAATTAATTATAATAAATCAATTATAATTCATCGGACTAGAAAAAACTAATTGTATGAAGCATAATAGTGTAAAAGTCATGAGCCATACCTGCCTTGACCATGTTGCTCTAAGTAGTAATCAGATGCATCAGAATAAATGTATGAGTCATCAAAAGTTCCCTACATTTGGCATCCTACTTCGTTTTTTTTTTCGTTTTACTTTTTTTCTTTTCTTGTTAGCTTGCTGAACAACGACAACTTCCGGTTCTGGGAGGCTACTTGAAAAAGAAACGCAACGCAAACTATTGTGATCTCCTGAAGTTGCATCCCTTTGAAATTAAAAACAATAACGCCAGTGTGATATAGAATCCGTATTTCAAAGTTAAAAACCCTTGAAGTTTCTCATCCAAAATTAAGCTACCCTTTATTTTATTTTTATTTTTTTAGTTATTTTAATTAAAAAACATACTTTTCCCCAATAAATCAGGTAATTAAATTTTTTAGCAGTCTTAAATAATAATAATAATAATTAGTGGTCTTTTATAGCGCGGTGCCCCAGTCTAGGGCTGGGCTCACCGCGCCGTACATAAAAATATTATCAAAAGAGACATAATCATGACATTAAAATCAAATAAAATTAGAGCAGAATGAACCCCAGGACTTTTACAAGGCAGGGGAATCAGTCAGGGTAGTATAGTTTAAAGAGAAGTGTTTTGAGTGTAGTTTTGCAGGTCTGGGTGGTTGGTATATTGCGGATGTGTAGTGGCAAAGAATTCAAATACCACGTCGACGTAATAAAGTGATATTTTACTACTTTGACTTTTAATTTTAGAATAATAACAAAAATTAAATAATGCTCCCTTGGTTGCATACTATATTGTTAGTTGCAGATATCCGTGTTAAATTTTATAACAAAAATTGTTAAGTAAATTTAAATGTTTTTATTCCTCACAAGCGGCTTGAATAAAATGAAGAAGTGTTTTAAAAATCTAATTCACGTATTTCGTAAAATGTATTTTATTTACTCCCCGAGTTGTTCAACTACATTTAACGCATTTCATACTGGCAATATTGGTCATACTTCCATGAAATGAATTTAAACGTTACATTTTAATAATTGCATTTAAAAGCTTGCACTGTAACGACAACGGGACTAGTACCCACACAATAACAAAAGTTACAACCGCAATAGGCCTAAGGCAGGGGCCATCCATAAATGTCGTCACGCAAATGTTGCCGATTTTTTTACCACCCCCCCCCCTCAAATATAACGTCAGAAATATCTGCAAACCCCCCTCCACCCACTTATTAAAAAGTCCTAGTGTCCACTACTCAAACCCTTGAGAAATTCACCTTCCTTGAATATCAAATTACTTCACCTATGACTATGTCAGAAACATTTCACTAGAACAGTGGTTCTTAAACATGGGTAAAAGTACCTCCCCAGCCTTGAGGTGTGGAAAAACAGAAAATTGTATTTGCCGCTATCGCTAGTTGTTGATACTTTTTTTTATTAGTTTTTATACATTTTGATTAGCAGCAGTAATTTTTTTATTTTATTCTATGAATTTTGGGTTTTTTGTATTGGTAAATTTTGTCCCTTGTTTAGAAAAAGTTAAATAAATAAATAAAATTACGGTAACTTAATTATCTGATTATGTTCATATTTTAAATTTTATTACAATCTAATTTATACGGTGGGGGGAGGGGTGTTTAAAACGGAGTGGGAATGCAGCTTTGCAAAAAATATTGAGAATCCCTGCCCTAGAGCATTTACTAAGATACAACACCCCCAAAAATCAACGGGGGGGGGGGGGGGGGGGGGCATTTCAGATTTTCAGGGTGAGGGATACCAGTGGAAAGAGGAATATCTAAGGCCTAAGGTGGGCGAATCCCTCACCAGACTCTTGCGAGAGGGGCTCACCCTGTGGCACGGGGCAGGCGAGTCCCTCACCAGAACCTTGCCAAAGGGGCTCTCCCCTGTGGAAAAGATTTTTTTTTAAAACGAGTATAACTTTCAACCGCACGGGACACTCATGACTCATTTTCAAACAAGCTTCTGACAATGGTTCTTTTATACAACTGTCAACTACATCTTAACAATTTCTTTTCGGTTAACTTTTAGATCCCCTTATATATCCTTACGGATTAAATTTAATAACTTGCTCAAAACTTTTGAAAAATAACTTTTCTATGTAGGCCTACATACTTCTCCTTTAAGAGACATTATAAATACCATAACTATAACCATATTCAATTAGGAAAGGGGGGTGGGGCAATTCCATCAAGTAGCGTTTTGGCGTCTTTTTATGATTTCAGTTTATTAGGTATTTGAATATGGCTAATCAGGGCAGGTGAACTATGTTTTGTCAACATCCATCCATTCATGTAGCCGAGATGCGGATTCTGTGTACAGCTGGTTACGTCTGCACGTGACGTTTTGGGGGCGTTGACAAAAAGCATACGTGAGACACTTGATATTGTAGCAGAAAACAAAGATAGCTTAAACTCTATTCAGGTAAACGTAGGCTATATGTTGTGTACATAAAGTGTTTTAGAAGGGGTCAAGGGGAAAACCAGTGATGTCAGGTTTTGAGAGTTTGGAGGAAAATTGATAATAAAGTTTGAAAATTACTCATGGAAGAATAAAAATGTCAAAATGTCTAAATATTTATTTATTGACAACGCTGCTTTTTCAATTGGATCTATGTGCCATATTATTCTATTGGATTGAATGTAGCTACACGGGAGATAACTTGCAAATTTTGAAAAAAAAATGACATCACTGGTTTTCCCTTGAACCCTTCGTTTATTAAATTAGTAGCATTTGTTCTAGTATAAAGCTGTCCATAACTGCTGGGTAATGTCTGTTGTCGTGATGTGATAACAACATGGACACGGCAGTTAGTGATTCTGTTCCCTGACCGGGTGGGATGTATTTGTTAGCCCACCATACTTAAAAGCAGGACTTACGGTGGTGGACGAACAAGTCAGTTTTATCTTTAACTTTAATGTTTTTTGGCATATAGAAATTTAAAAAATATATCGATATTTTTAAATATCAGGAGCATAATCTGTCTTAAGTCTTAAGTTGTATAAATTGTACACTTTTATCTGCCCGTAAATAATAATTATTAAGACAATTATTTATTGTAGAAGCACTACACCAGAGCCACTAGGATATTGTAGTTTAGGCCTACACTAATTTTTCCCTTCAGTACACTCAGCAATATAATAATATATTTATAATTTTTGTCAGTCATGTCAATGAATGTCAGGAAGAAAAAGAAGTGGGGCCCAATGTCGCAAAAGAAATGAGGAAGCCGAAATAGCGTAAAAGCAGTCTAGTACTTGACAAGCTAGCTTTTTATAGAAAGCCCGCAAGATGAAAGGTGAAGATGCAAACTCCAGTCCAATGCTTCCGATCAGTCTTTCTTTCAGACATCCACCCCCGCCCCCCCCCGGGGGATTTCAGATTGGGGGGGTGGGCGGCAATGAGAAGTGTCCAGAGGCGTAGCTAAGGGTATGCAAATAAATACGTCCCCGGGCGCAGACTAACGGAGGAGACAAATTAGGCTTTGATGGTATTTAATGTTTGATAATAATTTTGTTCAGAGGTATGTGTGCGGGAGGGGGCTTAAAAACGAATCTTGTCCAGTCACACCAACCACTTTAGCTACGGCCCAGAAAGGGGTGTAGAAAAGGGTGCGGATGGTGTGGTCCACACAGGTGTCACTTTATCTTTATATGGAGCTGCGGCATCTTCGGACAACTTTAAAGTTGGTATCGAGAAAGAGAGAGCAGCAAAAATCTTTGGCCGCCCATGGTGGCACCAATTATAACTAGGCAGAGTAGGCCCTATCTGTCGGCACCAAAACTGGCGAGAATTTTCATCCGGAAGTATGGCAGAAATCGAGGGCGCCGATGAATGAAAATGTTTAGTTATTTCAAAATCAAAAGGTGTATTTTGGAGTTAACTTGAATTCAATGTTTCTATTAGACTTTTTTTTATCTGTAAAGGGCCGGGGGTGGGGAATTGGGGCACTTCAGTGCCATATGTTACATACCGCTATAATGTGTAGAGAATTTACACGAATGGTGGCGCTTCTTGTCTGGGGCCATTTTGACTAAATGCTATTGGGATGTCATTTGTGGTAGTTTATTTTAGTTAAAATGAAGAAGTAATTTTACAAACATATCTTTCATTTGATACCTCATTTTGTCTTACAAACCCAACAATAATATTTTTAAAAGTTTTTTAATACCAACCTCTCACTTCTGGTACCCAGGTGCGAATAGTCACTTCTATTAAAATATGTTTAAAATGTTTCTGCGCCAGCAAAGCACCCCAAATTCACCAAATTATAAATAATTTAATTCACGAGCCACCAAATTATATATTGATGAGATTGTATCTTGACCCTGTATAGTACTCTTTGTATTTCAGTACTTGTTATTATTTTTTTTTTCAAATGAACAGAAGTAAACAAAGTAGATATAATATATAATATATTTTTTCTTTTACAGAAGAAAATGTTAGCATTTGAATGTGTGCTTTCTTTGGGAACAACCCTCTTGATAATTGGAGGATTTATTGGGATAACATTTCTAATACTTCTGGCACTTTCAGATGCAAATTTACGTCTCATTTTTAAAACACATTTTGGAAAGAGAACAGGTGGCTTCATTTCTCAATCTCATATTTAACTTTAGTTCACTCATAATTATAATATAATTTTATAATTGAGAAATAATTTTTTATTTAAGAAAATAGTTTTTAAAACTGTAACTAAATCAGAGGTTAATTATAAATTATATGCTTTAGGCCCTATACATTTTTTTTTTTAAATGAGGCTTCCTTGAGATAGTTGCATGAAATGAAAATGATTAGTCACTGAGTCACTGATTAGTGAAATTTTCATTAACTTTAACACAACTCGAAAATTAAATCACTCAGCTCAGGTTACTGGTCTAATCTTAATAATTTCAAAATAACCAATTCTATGACATAATGTTAAACATCTAAAACTTATAATATCTGATGACCTACAACTAAATTAAAATTCGTGACCAAATTAACACTAAAAGTAAATTAAATTTAAAAATTGTTTTGAACTTCAAATAATCATTTTGAAGTGTGTTCTTTTTGTCTTTATCAAAGAGTAACCTTCTAATTAAAGTTGGAAAAGGGAAGAAAAATGGGGGGGGGGGGGGGGGGGAATGTGCATAGGACTTAACATAGTGATTAAAATAATATATGATTACCCGGTATGTATTGTATAGTCTAGTGGATTTAGATAATTTGAACACAATTCAAGTCAGAGGTATTATGGTTCATTTCAATTGAGGAGAAAGTCTCCCTTCCCTAATTCACTTGAACAAAGTATAAAATACACCATTTCTTTATTATTTAACTCATAATAAATCAGAGACATAGCAAGAGTGTTTGGAGCCTGGGGGAAAGATTAATTTGTATGCCCCCCCCCCCTTCCCCCAACTCTGAAATCCAATTTTTACCATCAATAAAATACCACTAGTCTGGTGCCCTGCGACATCTGTTCCCCCGCCCCAGGTAAGCATCAAAATATCGGCCCCTACTTTAAAAAATAATTACTTTTAAATATAGGATTTCTTTGCCATTAACTTGAAGAAGTTATAAAAAAAATGCCCCGAGGAATTTATATTATTTATAAATTAAAATTTGTAATCTTTTTATTGTCTTCTGATCAAATATATTTTTTTAAAAATTATATTGTAGACACAAAACACATTTTTGACATCCTGGACACTCCAATTAAGACTATTTAGAGCGGTGATCCTCAACCTTCCTCGTGCCACGACCCTTTAATAGCGTTTCTCGTGTCGTGGCGACCCCCAGCGACACAATTATTTTCATTGCTTCTTCATAGCTGTACGGATACGTGTTTTCAGATGGTCTTAGGCGACCCTTGGAAAAGGGTCGCGCGACCCCAAAAGAGATCGCGAGCCACAGGTTAAGAACCGCTGATTTAGAGTATCAACATTTGTGGTCCCTACTAATGTTTATTAATATTATTTTTTTTTAAATTTAATATTTAGCTTTACAATCACATTTAAAATGATGAGATCTTGTATGGAAATTCTTTGAAACTTTAGACATATTGCTCTTCTAAAATACATTATTTTGAATGTCCCTACTAATGTTTATTAATATTATTTTTTTTTTAAATTTAATATTTAGCTTTACAATCACATTTAAAATGATGAGATCTTGTATGGAAATTCTTTGAAACTTTAGACATATTGCTCTTCTAAAATACATTATTTTGAATGTTTGTTCAAATCATTTAAGGGAGCAATTCATTACTGATTTAAAATTGTCATAGTATTCCAATTATTAGGCCAATTTGTGTCAAACTTGTGTTTTTGGGGATGGGGATCCAAAATCTGTAGAGTTTACTCTTTGTGTTCGGACTGAAAATGCATTTAATGTCAAACTTGTTGCATTATGACTATATTTGAAAAATTATTTCAGCAAGTTTGGCCGGTAAAGTTGTTTGGATTACAGGAGCTTCAAGTGGCATAGGTGAATGCATTGCTTACCATTTGTCAGAAGCTGGGTGCAAGCTGGTTCTGTCTGCAAGAAGACAAGATGAACTGGAAAGGGTGAAAAAGGCATGTTTGAAGTCAGGTTAGTTTCAAGACAGTAATGATTAGAAAACCAGATTAATTGTTGTTTTTTTAGATAGTTAGATCCTTGTAAAAATAGAACAAACTTTTGCAGTGTGTTTGAGTGAGTGTGTGTATGTGTCTGCAGAGTTGATAAGGAGGATGACAAGTTATGATATATTAAAAAATAAAATTGTGTCTAAATTACATTTGTAATTAATGTATCATTAATTAAAGGAAAATGTAAAACATCTGAAGAAGACATCCTGGTTTTACCATTGGATACTGTGAATTATGAGAGCCACAAAAATGCAGTGCAGCAAGTCCTTGAATACTTCAATCAGGTGCAAAGAGCTACACAGTTACTGTTACAAAATATTTAATTATAATGTATTAGAACAGTGGCTCTCAAACTTTTTTGGGCCACCATCTGCTTGGCGCCATAACTCACGCTCGCCTTTTGATATCCAATGAACTTTCAGTTGTTAGCCCCATTATGTTGGCGATAAATGACACAATGAATCGCAAAGATATGAGTACTTTTCAAAAAAATAAACATTAAAATAATTGTACCAACTGGTCAATGATGGTGACCTTTTCTAATTAACTGCTTCAGTTGTAAATACAAGTCAAACTTACTTTTAGAAAGTTGTACCATGCACTTTCAATGTTTTACTTAATGACTTTTTTTGACTACAAGATCAAGATCAATAAAATTTCACAAAAACAAAGATATATACAAAATTTAAATAAACTAATGCTAGTTAAATTTCCCCTGATAACTCAAAGATGACCATGTTTAGCAATGCTTGACCTTCTTTGAATTTTGAGACATTTTTTTAAATTTATGAATAATTGACAGTGTAATTAGTGCTGGTCAGTTCTTTATTTATCCATTTAATAAATTTTTTTGTTCTCAATAAAAAATATTCTGCAGATTGATATTTTAATAAACAATGCTGGGAAAGGCCAGAGAGCTGCTTGGATGGATGTCGAGCTACCTGTTGACCGCGAACTGTTTGAGGTAAACGTCTTGGGGCCAGTGTCACTGACACAAGCAGTACTCCCACATATGATACAACGTAGGCAGGGACACATAGCACTTATGAGCAGTGTTGCTGGAATCGTGGGTAAGTTAAACCTATGGTACACCAGAATATGGCTACCACTGAACACTTTCCCTCTTGTCTGGGGATTGGGGGGGGGGGGCATGACATTTGACTTTGGTAATGTTTTATTACTTAGAGGTTAAATGTTTTGTTTTTTTTAAAATAAGGTTAAATTTATAGAATCTTTGTTCCAAGCAGCAGTTGAGCATCTCTGAACCAGCACTTTCAGAATATGCTAGGAAAAGATTGCTTTATTATTTTATTACTTTTTAATACGGTATTCAGATTTTCATTGTGTCTTCTTTTTGCACAATTTTTGATCCACTTCCCCCCCACCCACCGCCTTGTTAATAACTGTCAAGCTTTCAATGTCCCCCTAAGTAATTATGTCAACATTTTTATAACCCCCTCTACCCCTCCAAGAAAATGAAATTACAATATAAATAAAGATATATAAATACATTTTACTTTGTGCTGATCTATTGTTAATCAACAAGTTAAAAAGTTTTTACACTTAAATTTTATAATGCAGAATCAATTGAAAGGTTGTTAAAGACTAAATATCATTGTTTGTGGAAGTATAAATATGATTATTGTCAGTAAAGCTGACAATTGTAGAATAGTTTCTATCTGCTATCATCTTCCCATTGAGTAGTCAGGTGTTGCTCTATCGTAACGATGGGCATAGCAGCTGATTTATCATTTTCATCTTGCAGAAGTGATATACCAGACAAGTCAACATCATCCTCATCTAACCATTCAGCACTTAAAATAGAAGCATTGTCGGTGTGAGCAATAATTGCCATCAGCTCTCTCTGTCTCCTGGCAGCTACTCCCATTGGTCGAATCTTTATTTTGTTGAGGAGCAGGTGGTAATTTCTTGAGCTCAAGAGGGCATTGACGTTGCTGTTGAGCATACTTTTTCAACATGACTTGTGATGCAAAATAAATCTTACAGATTTTGCAAATCCATTCAAGCAGCAATGTTATTATACTCAATTTACTTTCCCCTTATTCTCAAAATATCATATTCCTACTCTATCAATATCATTTATCTTGACTGCACATGACTCTTGAACCTTGTTTCATAGATGATCGCAAATATACTGCCCTAGTCATTTGCGACAAACATTATCTAGGCCAACTTTTTGACTTCTCTTGCACTCACAAAGTGTGCTAACATTCTGACCAGCCATCTGCAGTGCACAGACACACACATGTTAAACAAATTTTATATGGTATTGTTAAAAGCCTAAAAATTATATGACTATTTACACTCATTAAATTTTTTAAAATAATGTAATAACCTGTCAATTTTTAAGATTAAAATTTTAATAGAGAAAACATGATTGTTGACGTCAACTAATCTAAACACACACCCACCTCCCCCCTCTTATCAACAGTTGTCATATATATTCAAACACCACCCCCCACCCCTACACTATTTTTTTTACATATTAATGGACGCCCCCTTATGATAAACTTTACTGTTATGTAAATTCTTAATTATGACGCATACAATTAAAATTCTTTTGTTACGAGCTGAAATGAACTGAGCTGAAAACTCTTTCAAAATATGTAATTATAATAAAACTAGTGAAAAGAATTTTAAAAATGAGTAAATTAAGGAATTGGACATATTTTCATATTTTACAGTTAGTTAATAGGCCATCTTTTTTTACGCAATTTATTAAAACCTGTATTTCTTTCTAAAAAATTTACAGGCGCACCAATCTCAAGATCATACACTGGAAGTAAACATGCCTTACACGTGAGTTTCCATCTTTCCATTAAGGTTAATGTCGCTAAGACATTGTGTATGTTCATTAGGAAAGCATAGAAACTGATTTTTTTTAAAATTATTTGTCCTTTTCAACTTCAGGGATACTTTGACAGCCTCCGCATTGAGCTTAGTGAACACAATATTGATGTAACATTGATTTGTCCTGGGCCGGTTTCTTCCAATTTTTTCATACAAGCCGCCACTAGCAAACAAGGAGAGGTAAGTGATAAGGATCACTGATTGGGGTCCCATATTGATCCCCTTAACTTCTCTTCCAGCTCTGTTGCCTAGGGGTTGACAACATTAACCACTCTTCCAGCTCTGTTGCCTAGGGGTTGACAACATTAACCACTCTTCCAGCTCTGTTGCCTAGGGGTTGACAACATTAACCACTCTTCCAGCTCTGTTGCCTAGGGGTTGACAACATTAACCACTCTTCCAGCTCTGTTGCCTAGGGGTTGACAACATTAACCACTCTTCCAGCTCTGTTGCCTAGGGGTTGACAACATTAACCACTCTTCCAGCTCTGTTGCCTAGGGGTTGACAACATTAACCACTCTTCCAGCTCTGTTGCCTAGGGGTTGACAACATTAACCACTCTTCCAGCTCTGTTGCCTAGGGGTTGACAACATTAACCACTCTTCCAGCTCTGTTGCCTAGGGGTTGACAACATTAACCACTCTTCCAGCTCTGTTGTCTAGGGGTTGACAACATTAACCATACTCTTTTTCACCAAGAGTCACGCCAACGCTTGTGATCAATATTACTACTGCAACAACGCTTCATAAAATCCTGCAGTTCTTTTTAATACACACTGAACTGTGCTAAACAACACAAAGTCAACTACAACATCATGAAAATTTGTATAACACAATTCCTGGATTTCACACATAAACACTGCTCAACTCCATTACTTAAAGCAGGGGTCTCAAACTCTGGCCCGTAAGACGATATATTGCGGCCCGCTACATGACAGCAAAGTTTAGTCTTAATGCGGCCCGCGCGTTTTCCCCATTGTCATATCTATAATGTGACCCTCCGCGACGGTTTCAGTGGAATCTCACCCACTACACAAAATTCTGATTTTTATTATGTTTGTATAGATTTGCATGTTTATTATAATGGTAAAAAATCGTTTTAAAATCGGACTAAACATTTTTATTTTATAGCATTTTATGAGACAAACATGGACAATGTTCAGTTTTTAGAAAAGTTTTAAAAAGTCAGGTTGGAGGGTAATGCACAACCATAATTGTGTAAATCGTAGCAATCTGACACTGTTTCAAAGAATCCCTATTGAAATTGCCGCTAGTGTTTACGAGTGAGGTAAATTCCGAGCCAGTCAGTTTGGTCACTTTCAAAATAGGGTTAGTCAAAAAAGGCCTTTATACAATAAAAAAAATCATGCATTCATTGTCCTTACAATAGCATCTTCTTTTGCATTAATAATTCATAAATATTGCCTGCTTCTGCCTACTGTTTGCTCATGTTTTAGCATTAAAGCCTTCATGGAGAAGGATGGGGTCGTTGTTCGTGTACTAAGTGATCCTAAATGGCTCATGGACTTGGCTTTTCTTGCTGACATTACACAGGAGCTGAATGTACTCAACAGAAGTTACAAGACTAGGGGTAGCTTGTCAGTGTTGCCTATGACAATGTCATATTTATTGCAACTTTTACAAAACTCTTGCATGTATGCAGGTCTTGGGTAGAGAAGTGGGTAAAGATGAGAAACGAATGTCTGCCGAGCGGTGTGCATATTTGTCATGTGTGGCTATTGCTAACCGGATGTACCAGGTGTGGCTGGCCCAGCAGCCTGTCCTACTGTTTGTTTATATTATGCAGTACCTACCTGACCTGGGCACCTGGTAAGTCAAACTAGGATATTGTCTTTATAACAGTGCTTCTCAAATTGTGAACTGGCACCAGTCTGTGAGGCCTCAATTGATTTTCTTTTAGTTGTAAAATAATATTAATAAATAGAACTAAAAGTGGGGAACATGTCTGCATAAATCCTTGGGGATCACTGAAATGTTTGAGTAGCAGGGACATATAAACTTACAATGAACACTATAAAAAGAGGAGGAGACCTGGACGGGATAGGTTTAATATTTACCCAGCATAAAAAAAGGGTATTTATAAAATGGAAATTGGGGAATATACAATATCTGTCTTTACTTTACGCTCCCAACAATAAAAATGCATTTCAGATATTAACTATTTGATGTATGTTTGGGCACCGAGGCCAAAAATTCTTGTTCTTAAAAATATATTATGTAATCAGAACCTGAGTATTTCTTCGATCTACATACAATACCACTAAGTTTAGACACGTTTTGAAGATTATGTCTGCCACATTATCCTTGAAATCCTTTCTATAAACAAAGCAACCCCAAATTCGCTTAATTTATGCTTTTCCAAATGCTAACAATGAAACAAGCCTGAAGATATATCAGGAAATCATCTTAGCTGTGAAGCACTGTCTGAATAGTAAATCATATGTTAATCCTTTTAAGCTGTACAGGAACTTGTACAAATTGGATCATCTGCAGCTGTTTCCCTTTATATAGGAAGATTTAATATATTTCTATAAATATAAATGTATTTAACTTTAACCACAGCATGGCTGCTCCATAATTGGTGTACCTTTTGATTATTTCACTTTTTAAAATTTCACAAATTTAATTTTTTTTTTAAATTTTAATTTCCATTGATTGCACCTCTTCAGGTTTCTTCTCAAGATGGGTCTAAAGAGAATTGCAAAGATGAGAGAAGGAAAGTGAATTGGAATGATTCTTTATTCAGTACTATCTAATATGGTGGAATGTGCTTTATATCATGCTTGGTGTTATCCAGTCTAATTTGTACACACACTAAAAATGTGACAGTTAAAAGACATCACTAAATTTAACCCCTAAAAGCTCTTTTTTTTTTTTTTTGTGCCAGCTCACCGATTTATCAGGCCCATTACCCCAATACAAAAATTATTAATCTCATGAGACATTCCTCACAATAAAACATTTTGTTTTTGTGCTCAGATCATCTAGATCTAATTCAATTCAGCCTTAGATGTTAAATTTTTAACAGCTTGTAAACTTCTAGACTGTGGAATCCTTAAGCTACACTGTAAACTTCTGGACACTGGAATCCATATGTTGTAAACTTCTAGACAGTAAAACAGGTAGGGCTACAATTACACTGGCTCTGAATTTCACAGACATCTAAGACTGACATAAGAGACCAACATCCAAGACTGACATACGAGACTGATCTTTCGGTAGAGAAATTCGTTGGACATTGTGCTCACAACCGATAGCATCCAAAAATTTGTTTATCCTCAAAATGGCCTTGACCTTTTTTTTCTTCTGATTTATGGTTGAAAACTAAACTAATTAACTTTGTAATGACTACCATTTCGTATTCCTAAAAATTACCATTACGGTAAAAAATGTAGTTGTAAAAACATTGTTGAAAGATTGTACTGTGAAATTCTGGAATTAACAATTGAAAGGAATGCCCCACTATTTTATTCCTACCATATTTGGAGGGGCAGGCCTAAGCCTAAACTAAAATTTAGAAAGTCTAAGAAAGTGTCTGGTTACATAAATAGGAAGCCCTTGAGACTAAGCAACAAACAGGATCATGAGGTGTTGGGTATAATATTAATTGCTATTAATGTCACTTGTGACTTGGGTATTTTATTATATTATAAATTATAGCATGCTGAAACTGTGGTTTCTGTTTATTATATTTATATATTTGTGTGTTGTACAAGTCCATGCATAATGATTTAATTTGTTGCTGCATCCAAAGAATGTGCAGAAAAATCTATTTATTTGGTTCATTGTATTTTTTTAAACAGAAGTTTTCCAAGTGTGTGGAAATGTTTTATTAACCTTTAGTCTTACTGTCTTTTTCAAGGCTGATAATCATATTAGGATTTCATCTTTTTTCAAAATTTTAAATAAAAGATTTGTTTAAAATGATTTTCTGAAATATATAATCCACCACAACCCCCTTGAACAGTCCCAGCGCACCCCCCACTCCCACTAAATCTACTGAGCATTTTACCACCCACATGGGACATCCCACTCTGAGAATCACTGGTCTAGATCTTACAATCTACTGTAAATACTGTAATTAAACATGTATAAGATTTAGTTTTATCAAAATCTGACTAGTCACCACAAGGAAATTTCCCTACGCCAACTTGAGCATAGCACCTTTGACTTTTAATACTAAGTTCTGGTTTGAGTGGTTTGGGGTAAAAATTTTGATCATTTTTCTTCTCAAAGCCAAAGAGTATTAATTATTAAGTTAAATATTCATATTTTAACAACTTTTGAGTAATTTCAGCTTTAATATATTGAATTTTATAAATAAAATCTTAAATATAAGCTACTTATGCTTTGTGTTTTTCATAAAGTGATCCCTTTCTAACATTGAACATGACATAGTTTTAACACACTGTAGTCAGTATTTTGTCTTTCCGTGCTGGTGACGAAAGTTATTTCCACCGGGCAGAACCACCCCCCCCCCCACCCCCCTCATTACTGGGGAAAAAAATTGAGCTGTCGTCTGATTTTTTCCGTTTAAAAAAAAAGGTGGGGGATGTGGGTGGGAGGGGGTTGCTGGTGACGAAAGTTATTTCCCCCGGGCAGAACCACCCCCCCCCCCACCCCCCTCATTACTGGGGAAAAAAATTGAGCTGTCGTCTGATTTTTTCCGTTTAAAAAAAAAGGTGGGGGATGTGGGTGGGAGGGGGGCGCAGTATTAGTAGTGATACCAAACTGTCGTATTACGTTCGCTGAGGTAAACAGCTGCTTTGCGAGTTCTACACATATTTTTTTTTTAAATGCCGCTGACAAGCTCTTATAAAATATGTCCACATCCAACGTTCCAGTGCAGAACAGTGGCATCATGTATTTTATTGTAAAAAAACCATTTCGTCTCTAGTTTTCTCCGTGTGCACAATCGCCACAGTTCAAGGGAACAAAACTACGTCACACGCTTGGTAGCAGTCAAAGTCAAAGGGGATGGCAGTGACTAGTATAAATATTACCTGTGACGCAGCTAACTAGGTCAGTGTGGCACACAAAGCAACAGTAGGACAATCATCGCCAGCAATTACCATACTTTGCGGTGATATTTTTATAACCTTTGACACTCCGACCAACCCCACACCCATGCGTCCCGTATGCCGAAGCTCTCCTTCATTAACAACCCCCACCTCCCCTCTCAGTGCGCACATAATATAATGAAGGATGGTTACAACTTTTAAAAAAATTACAACCAATCGTTCCATTCACCAGTAGATTATTATTGGAAAAGGATAAAACTTCAACAAACGAATTTTAATCGGAATTTTTTTTTTCCACCGGCTCTCTGAAAATCGTAGTTTTGGCGGGTCTCGGCGTACAATCGTAAAAGACATCTCAAAATCGTACATTGTACGCCAAAATCGTAAGAGTAAACAGGTCTGCTTAATATACACTGGACTCTCAGAAGTAGGTGGTTTTTCAGGTCCCACGCTAAATTTGTGTACAGTATCCAGAAACTTGTTTGAAAGAAATTTCTTCGATGGAAAATTTATCAATGGAAGTTTGGTCAAACGGAAATTTGATCGAATTTTATTTTCAGTTCACACTATCAAATTTTGCATCAAATTTGAAATCTTTCAAATTTCCAGTAACTCTAAATTTGTGCTGTATCCTAATCCACGTTAATAGTAATTATGAAGGGGGGGGGGGAAAGCATACATTTTTTTTTTCATCCTGCATTGTAACTGCACTTTATCCAGATAATATTGAGAGTACAGTGCATTAGTTAATAATTATTAGAAAACAAATGCGTTGATAGTTCTATCAGATATTAACCTCAAAATTAACATTTTTTAATTAATATCTCTATACAGAAGTGACCAATATTTTAAATAAATTATGAATATTTAGATGAGCAATGTGTTCCTAAATTTGGTTTGATTCTGTTTGTTGGGCTGACTAAACAGTTATTTTATTTATATTAATCACAGAACCAATGGTCATTGAGAGTCAGCTCAGAAAAAGTCTTATATACCGTTTCTTAAAAACTTTCACTATTTATTTTTTTTTAAAATAGTCATAATCATAATATTATGTAGATTTTTGTATATAATTAATATTAATATTTTTATTTCACCTAGTCATTTCAAATATGAAAATGTACTGATAGAAATTTTGTTGAATTTTATAAAATTATGTTAATTATTCAATGAGATTGCCTTGAATTGTTTTGTGCAGATTTATAAATTTTACAAAATACCACATGAGCATACCCTAATTATATGTGTAATTTAAACAAATAAATTCATTAATCCATGTTTTCTTGATGGATCAAGCTTACGGCTCACTTTTATTATTAAGCATTTTTTTCATACATGACAAAAATTCAAACATTTCAACAAAAAAATTTAATTAAAAAAAAATATATATATATATAATATATATATATTTTTTTTTTTTTTGGAAATGACTTATTTTAAAGCAAAACCTTTCAAGAGAAGTCCTATTCTCTGTTTGCCTATATCAATATTTTGTACACTGACAAGAACATGATCCCCTACACCGACTGGTCCATGACATCCCATTTTACTGGTGTGGACAAGTCCATTTATACCCACACCAATATCCACAAAAGCTCCAAAATGGGTAACATTAGTTACTCGCCCTGTCAATTCTACACCTGGATGCAAATCATTCACTGACTGGATCTCTTGTTTAAACAGGGGCTTTTGAAAACCTAGGAGAAAATGAATAATTCTTTGCTCAGAATACTTAGAATATTTTTTATATAACTAAGAGGGGAACATTCAGGAAAATGATGGTTTGAAATTTTTAATTGAAAAGATATTGAAGTCATCAGCATACGTAGAAGAGTGAGGCACACCTCAATAACTAAAGACAGTTCATAACAATCATACTGTATATCATTTAAGGCGATGATAACCTACTTTCTCGTAAGTCATATGACAGAGGCTGCTGTAAGGCATCAGCTATAAGTCTGACAGTGGCGAAACCTGCTGAATTCTTGTCACAGAAATCTTTCAGACCTAAAAAAAAAAAAAAGTACCGGTAATCATTTCATCATTCTTCCAAGTGGTCTGATTTTATTTTTCCATAGCATCTTATCAACAATTGAGTGATAATGTATGTTCTTGAATTGTTTAATGTCACATTGTAGTTTGTTACGTACAATAATCTGTTGCTCTTTCCTTAACCTTGGTCATGAATTCTTTACTGCCAATATCACAGAGATTCACATTGAGATGTCTTGCTAATCTACAATACAAAATAAAAGTTTCAAATAATAGACATTAAAATTCCCCTAATGGCACCAAGAAAAGCTGTTAAATCATAATGATTAAATTCACATTGAGGTGACTTAATGAATTACCAATCGATGATGCAAAAAAGAAGTTTCACATAGCTACTCAAACAAATTAGTGACTAGAAAAATTCAGATAACTGCTTGATCTTTGCATGACTTAAAAATTATATAATTTCTATATTAAAATTAAAGTAAAAAAAATACAAAACAACTTTATAATCTATTGCAGAAACAACTCTTAACAAGAACCATAACAGTTGGCAACACAAACATAGGACATACAAGGTGAACACATTGCACTTACAAATGAGTGAGGTCATAAGATTCTGGGTGAACAGATGTTGCATCCAATGGATTCCAGTTCTCATTCACACTAACTTTAGCTTTCTTCCCTTTGCTTGGTCCAGCTGTACTGTCTGCTTTTCTTTTTCTGCCTTTTTTTGTGCCAGTTTCCTCTTCCACCTTGATCTCTTCTTTGACATCTACAAGTCTGTAAATGGGTCAATATTCACTAACATGATAATTTGATATCAAATAATGTATAATTAAAATTCCTTATGTTACATTTATGAATAGTACATAAAATGGCTGACAACATAATTATCAATTCACTTTGAGTTTCTGTTTTAGTCTTTCCACAGACAGGGTTTTTCCAAAACAATGTTTAAAAATACTTAATCCCAATAAAATAGATTGGAATCCAAGCAATACTATCAATAAATTATTTTTCAGAACTATTTGATACCATATATATCAATCATTTGACCATTCCAGAAAGCCTTTTAGTGCAATGCTATCTTATTTTTTTTTGCACCTATAACTGTAAATCAAGAGGCAGTAGGTTTGAATTTGTCCTGTGGTTCCCCAACCTATAGGCTCTAACCAGGGTGAAATGGACTTGCCAGTTCTTGGAAAATCCAGAATAAAATAACTCCAGAGCCAATGTCTAAAGACAACAACCAACTTTATCTTATTTACATGTGTATTACTGCAATTACTTATATTTTTAATGTGTTATTCCACAGTGAATAAATCAAGTTTTTTGTCATGTGCACATATTTTCTTCACAATTAAAGTTATATTTTTCTTAAACTTTATCCATTCCTGGATGCATTTGTCTTCAGTTTATCGAGATCAAATAATATTCAGGCACTTAAATATTTTAAAAAACTATTTTTCATTGGAAAAATATTCTCTTCTTTCAGGAATAAGGATTATATAAGACAGAAATACAGCTGTCAGAAATATGTTTAAAAAATAGTTTGTTTTTATAATTTGTATTGTCACTACCTGGTGGCACCTGTTGTCTGGAAATGCATTATTCTCACAAAGCCAGCACATTGTTCATACCCCTTTTGACCAAGACCTTTGATAGTCAGTAGCTGCTGTCTATTGGTGAACTGACCATGTTGAGATCTCCAATCAAGAATTTTATTGGCTTTTGTAGCATTTAACCCAGCCACTCTCCTAAGGAGGAATAAACTTTCATGAATAGTAGGCTAGATCAGTTATATCAAACAAATATTTCCTATACATGCATAGGAAAAAATATTCCTCAGTTTATAATGCTGTGAAGTATTGAGTTCTTCATTGTAAGATGAGTATAAGGATTAAGGAGAATCTTAACTTCCTTCATTGATAATTGTGTTATGAACTGGGTTTTTTTGGGTGTATATATATATATCAAACTGCCAGTATTTAACATTCATAACTGTCGAACAATATTTTTGTATATCTTTGTGATTTACCTTACCACCATACTTATGGTTACTAAAATTTCATAATCCTGGTTAATAAATTAAATATTTCATTTCCAAACCTCAAAAGAGATTCACTACAAGTATTGAGATCCACTCCTACAAAACTGACACATTCCTCCACAACAGAACTTAGTGCATTTTGTAACTTTGTCTTGTTCAGGTCATGCTAGAATCCAAAAGTATAGCAAATATTTTTTGGGCGCGCTTTTAATCAAATTTATTTTCTACATGAAACAAGAGTTAATTTATAAGTCTTAGAAAAATAATTTGAAAATAAATATAAACTAAAATATCTATGGACGTATTTAAAAGCCTAACAAGTCATCTAGATTTCCAATTTAGATAGCTAAAAAATAATTTTAAATCAATCTCATTATGTCATATATAAGTGAGAAATTCAGCATTTGAGTTGTTTTTTTTTAAATGATTTCTACAACTGAATCCATTATATTAAAAAAATGTAATTACTAAAGTGAAGTTAATCTTTGGAAAATGATATACTTTTCATGAATAGTACCGGTATATACTTAAAATGTGCTAGACAATTTTATTTAAAAAGTGTTGTTTAAAAAGTTGTGCAACTCTAAAAAATGAAAGGGATGGTAAAGCCAGCAGTGCCTTCTTAGTTTACCTGGTACATTCCAACACCAAGATGTTTTGGTTCAATCTTCACTAGCTCAGCCAGGGGATCTTGAAGACGTCTTGCAATGGAAACTGAGTCAAAAGCAAGACATAACTATTACAATTTTTAATAAAATACCTTTAAATACTGTACAGCAAAAATAAAATAAATAATACATTGCAAGTTATCAATTCAAACTGAACGCTCTGCATACCACGAACCATTTGTGAAATATCAAATATTTTTTGTTAAATTTCAAAAAAATTTCTGAACAGCAGTCAGGAGATAAGGATTATACTTTGAATTTGTTAAATGAAAACTTAAGGTATTATACCTGCCCCTCTTAATGTTGGGTCCAAATCTGGCATTTCCTTCTTAGCTTCATCTGATACACTATAAATTGATGCCCCACATTCATCCACAATGCTAGACGAAATTAAAACATCACAGTTAAGCGACTTGATTTTTGTGTAAACAGTTTCAATGTTGACAGCAAAGAAAATCATTCATTCACCACAATTTTTTTTTTAATGCTGCCCAGTAAATTGTCTACTCATATCAAAATTCAGTGTGAGGACCACATTTATTATTAAGACTTTATTATACTTGTCGTGGCTGTATTTCTTTTATTTCAATTACAACTTTTTGGCAGGTTCATAAAATCTAACACTCTGAAGTAAAATACATAAACCCCTATTTAAAAGACATTTCTGAATACTTTTATTCATTTATGAGAACTCGCATTATTTCCTTTAATTTTAAATGTCTTAATTGGTTTTGAATCAAAAGTTTTGTCATTTTTCACACAAATCAATAGAATCGACGGTATGACTTTTTAAACAGCAGATTTGAAACATTAAAGGAGGTACTCATCTGAAAACACTAAAATTGGGTGTGAATGTGAAACAGGGATAATTCACATGACACTTATTATAATATTAGTGGGATTAGGTTTCTTGACCTGTATGCTGTAAACCTCCACTAAATCCAACCTCCAACTAAATTTAAGAAGATTAATATTTTGTATTATGCTAGATGAAATGACCAGGTAGCTAGCTAGTAGCTAACCATTGACATTCACGTCTCCCTTCGTACCTATGAACACGAACTAGAAATCACAATCAAATGGCTTTAAATTACCAGTAAACAACTGAATGAGGTTTGAAGCTGCCATATTTGATCATATTTGAAATAATCTGCTCAGTTTCTCGACAGGCTACACCATTCCCGATAGTGATGATTTCACATCTGAAAATACGGTAAAGACAGTATCAGCAGTTTGGTCTAGGTTTCCTTGTAAATTATGCATTTTAAGAGTTCAAATCTTTTTAAAAAGTAGTTATCAGGTTATCTATTGTAACCCTATTTTTTTTAAAACTCAAATTACTGCATGTTTTTAAGATCATAACAATGGAGAAAGACACATTTTCTAGAAGTACAGTTGCAAAAATCACCAATATCCTGGGATCTATAGAATTAGAATCCCTCCACCCCACCGCTCCAAGATTTTTGGCAGTTGTTAAGTTAGGTCGTTTATTCAATTCAATGATAGATTCATTGAAACTAATGGGGTAAATAATCAAGTTGATAATTCAAGAAGGAAGCTATTATTATGACAGCTACAGCTCACAGACATGATCTAAAACGCTTGACAGTTGATCTACTTAATGCCACAAAGAAACATATCAATAATGTTGACAAAACCAAAGTGGAATCTAAGTTATGCACACAATTTTCACCTGTCCCATCCTATGTGTTTCCAGATCACAGGTTGAGACTCTTGGTATGATGTTTTATACTAAAAATCAAATGAATAGTTCACCTATAGTTATGTACAAGGGAAGCTATTCTCATTTCTTCTTTTTTGTCCCTCTTGGTGTGCAGGTACATGACTCCAGTTTCCAATATCTGGCCAGTAGGAGAGATCACTGCTATTTTACACCCATTTGTAAAACCTGGGTCAATGCCAAGTATTGTTTTGTTTTTTACTGGTGGGGTCAACAAGAGACGCTTCAAGTTGGAGGTGAAAACTGATATGGAAGCTTTTTCTGCATCTTTTGTCAGTTCTGCCCTGCACGGTAAAATTTATTAATAATACTGTTGTGCAAAAAATAATATTTAGATAAAGTAATGGGCCCATCCATAATTGATGTCATTCTATTTCATAAGATTGTTTTCAGAAATTAGATGCTTATCAGGTTGTGACAAATTCCAGACCCCATCCCTAGACTTGCAACATCGTTTATGGATGGCCCATAATAATCGGTTTTCCTGGGTTTAGATATTCTCTATTTAAGTGAGAACCTTAAATTTATGACTATTTCTACTTTGTTTATAATATATATATACAAAAGAGCAGCGATGCAAATTTAGAAATATATATATACCAGTATATATTTAATTATTCAGATATGTAAGACTCAAACCCCACTACAGTCAACCAGAAAATCAACTCACGGGACTGTGATAACACAACAGTACAATTTGGGTATATAATTTCAAGCACTGCTCATATTTAAACCAGAATAAATGTAAACTTGCGTAATAAAATATTGCTTAGACTTAGACATGTGTTTAATGCTTTGTATGAGATATTTTGAAAAAAACTGACTAACAAAACCTCTTAATTGCACTTCCTTTCTTAGAAGAGAATGGAAAATGGAATAGAGAGGGCAAATAAATACCTCATTTGTCTGCTTAGCATTGGCTCAATAAGACGGTCATAAGCATCTACGACAGCTGATCTTAAGATGGTGCTATTTTCTTGGTTCATTGTGTTCCTAATTTGTTTGTCCAGAGCAAAGTTTATAAACTTCGTTTTCACAATATCAGGAATAGAAATCTTCACCGAAATAATTTTCAGATCTTCTCCTCTGTTCAAGGCTAAAATCTAGCAAAGAAAAAATAGCTTAGATAACAAACATATGGATTATATCTAAACCCGACGAATGCATTTAAGGGATCTGATTTTGTTTGGTTTCTCCGAAAATGAATCTCGGAATATTTCAGGCACTTAGTCAATTAGTGATATCCACAACATAATTTTTTTTTAAAAACAATTACGATATCGGTAACATTGAGAACTTTATTTCTCGCCCATAATTTGTTAGAACATGCCCTCAAGTACTTGATTATTTTATTTTTTATTTATACCTATCCATTTTATTTTGTGTTTTTTTCCTCATCATAATTAACTTTATGAAGCAATTACCTGGTGAGCTTTTGCTTGTCCAACTGGAATCTTAAAATCAAAATATTGCTCAAATTTATTTATTGACTTCTCTTGTATGGCTTGAGCCTTTGTTGTGGAGCCCTTTTTGGGTGTCCCTGAATTTCCCTTTTTGGTTTTTTTCTCCTTTTCCACCTTTGCTTTGGCCTTGGTACTCTCCAGTGTAATTTTACTGCTCTTGAAACTGGGGATAAAATGAGAAAAACATGAGGCAAATTGAAGTTCATGTGGCTATCAACATTTTATTCTGAAATCAACAAGACCCAACTACAAGATTATTAAAGCCCAATCCTGGCTAATTTACTTTTGATATACACCATTTTACCAGCATCATTCAAACTCCTTTTCGGGAGCAAACAAAGTTTACAAAAAATTTTAATGTCTTTGTTTTGGTTAAGTTAGTAAGGTGCTACATGATAAGTCAGGAAGTACACGATGGGTTAGGCGGTACATGGTGGGTAAGGCAGTACAAGGTCAGTAAGGTGGTACATGATGGGTTAGGCGGTACATGGTGGGTAAGGCAGTACAAGGTCAGTAAGGCGGTACATGATGGGATAGGCAGTGTCAGGCCTGCAACAAATCGGGGCCGAAAAATCAGCCACAACAAACCGGCCCTGTCAAAAGGGCTCCCATCAACAAGGCCCCCCTGAATTCTCAGGGCTGATTAGTCTGGCCATTTTGCCTAATTGACGGTGCACCTGGATAGGGGGGTACCTGGTGGGTAAGGTGGTACATGGTGGGTGGGGTGGTATATATTGAGTAAGGCAGTACATGAGTAAGGTGGTACATGAAGGGTAAGGTAGTACATGATGGGTAATGTGGAATATGGTGGGTAAGGTTGTATATGATGGGTAAGGTTGAAAATGGTGGGTAAGGTGGAATATGGTGGGTAAGGTGGTATATGATGAGTAAGGTGGTATATAATGAGTAAGGTGGCACACGATGGGTAAGCCAGGCATGCATGAGACATTGGGAGTTCACTGAAAAGTGTGTAAGGCATGAGTGGGTTAAACTATCCTTGGACAAACCACTTGGTAAGAAAGAATGCTAAGGTTATTACAGGAAAATTAAAAGGCATGTTTGAAATATATTACTTGGTAAAATTATATTGTTGAAATGATTCATGAGAGATCGTGGATAGATTTGTTTTGTAGAATGAGTGGCTATCTAGCTATTTTACTAAAATGGATGAAGCTCTTTCCCCACCCAACAAGGTTGAACACCCCTGCTCTCGCATAGGCAATGACACTTCTGAGCAATAAATATCCCTTTCAAATTCTAGCTATTTGCCTGAGACACCACCCTGAGCTTAAGCACACTGACCATGTCTGTCTACCCAGCCCGATGCTGCTCTTTCAATGACAGGGGTAAAGGTAGGGTGACTCAGCATATGGTCTAAAACAGTTTCAGAAACAATAAACAAAGGAACTTTATAGTTGGTAACTAGTTAAGTACATGGTTAAAGAAATTCGCTGAATCAGTTAGGTATTCATTGATAAGATTTGGACAAATTTAAAAGAAACATGATTTTTCAGTCAACATTTAAAAAAATGCAAACAATTGTACAATGTGAAAATAGTGTTAAAAAAATACCTTTTTTTTTTTTCAAAAGCAGGATTCAAATGGTAGACAAGGCAAAAGAATAACATGATGCAACTTATTAATTGAAAAACGTCTTGTGGTTTGTAATGTACATGCATTCAAAATAACATTTATTTTAAAAACAATAATGCAATGCAGCCAAAGAATGCTAAACTATTTAAATAATTTTTTTTTCCTCTGTCATTTAGTTTAGAAAAAAAAATTGAGCACAAGTTATAGCATAGAGAGTATGCTTCAACAGCAGTCTCAATTATTAACAAAAGACTTACATCCTTCTGGCTTCATCAATTAATTCTTTATGTTTAGAAACAATATCTGCAATAATATGCTTCACTCCTTTCTCAACATCTTTGACACTTTCAAGACCTTGAACAAAAAAAAAAGTTTATAAATAAAAAATTTTTTTTACAATCAATTATCTTTTCCCTCCATTTTCCCTTTCTACAATAAATGATAGATTTGAAGGGATCAAAAATATTAATGCAACCATTCCTAAATATTAACTGACAATATTGGGTGTTGTTCATGTAAAAGTGGACACAGCACCCAAAAATTAAATTGCATAAAATTTGGTGCTATATAAATTTATTTCATGCATCTTGGTATAGAGTCATTTTTAGTATCTTTGTTTTAGGTGACACATGGCCTGCTACCCATCTTGAATGAGTCCCCACATTTTGATAGAAATTTTGTTGAATTTTATTGTGTTTACATTCAATAAATGTAGATAGACAATTTTCATTATCATGGTCAATGTCAGGTTATGGACAAGCATTAATACGCTGTTTGATATGTTTATTTAACTGCTTCACTTAAGTATTTGTAATTCTGCAAATGAACTGATGTTGTTCTATTTTTAATTGCTTGCATTTAAGACACATTACATAAGTTACATTTTTTTGCCAGTATCTTTTTGTAAATGTGCTATCAACCTGTCCTAAGTAGTTTTTAAAGGTTTTCCTTAGAAAAGTAAACACTGAGAAAATTATTTTGAAAAAAATATATTTTAATTAAAGTAGATTGCAGAGAAAAACAGAAAAAAGATGCATCAGTTACATTTCAAAATTTATTATTTTAACTATTATGCTTAGTATGTTTTTTTAAATGGTATTGTTTTACAGTCTACCCAATTAACATCAAAAGCTGTGTATAGTTAAATTAAGCACACTTAATGGCATTTTTTATTTATACTGGATGGGAATCAAAATGATTAATCTGAAAATTATGGCAGTTACCAAGGAATTCACCATTGGTTAATTCGCGACACAAACCTGCTTTAGATGTATCCACAGCAGAGTTTAAGTTCACAGCTTTCCCATCTAAGATTTTCTGGGCTAGAGGTTCAAGACCCAATGCTTTAGCTCTTTCTGCATATGTTCCTTTGTGTCCAGGTTTGAAAGGCGCATACTGTGAATCAGATAATTTTTTTTTCGTTTCAATGCTCAACACTTTGGTTAAATATTAAGTAAACTTAATTTAATTAATTAAGACATTTGAAAACCTAAAGCTGGCAATTAAAAAAAACAAATTCTTTGAATGAGCATGAAAAATGCAAGGAAATGCATCATATCACACTTCTTTTGTTTTTTTTTAAATGACTGCATAATAATAAACATAATAATAAACAATAAAAGGCAATAACATACTCAATTAAATTAATTCATTAAGAAAAGTACTAGGTTACATTTATCAAGAAACATAATCCATCAATATAGAAAAGTAATGATAAAGTAAAGTAATAGAATCATACCAAAGATTCAACTTCCAGAATGGATGTTGAAAACTTTAGAGATGTTTCGAGTATGTTGTTCATCTTTCCCATCTTTTTGATAGCATTATATACATTCCCGATTTTTGCCTCAACAGTTCTGATATAAAAAGAATTAGAAATTCACCACAGGAAAATTGAATATGTATTAATTTCAAGAATACAACTTTGTGTGTCATTCTCATACCTATGATGTCACTCTAAGTATTTAAACAGCTACCTGAGCAAAAGATGTTGCAAACCTGTTGTTATCTCGACTGAAATAACCGTCAAAGTACCATACTTAGTGGATATAAATCACTTATTTTAGGAAATTTTCATAGCATATATAAATAAGATCAGTTAAGTTTATGAGTGATTTAATTCATAAATTAATTTAATATAATTAATTTTTTCTATAAGTAGTGCAATTTTTTAAAATTCTAATACTAATATTGATTATACTATGCTAAAAATAATTATCACATATTAAAATAAAAGGGCATGTTTTTCAGTAGCACCACATCAATAAGTAACAACATTTTTGTTCATAAAAATCTTAATAGTGCAATAAAAATATATGGGCTAAACTTAACAGTGTCATAAAGATAAAACGACATACATCTAGGCCTATCCTTATGCTAGATAATTGACAAAACAACAAAAATCACCTTAATTCCTCCAGATTATTTGCAACATCTCGTAACAAATCAGGACCCATGTCCTCTGTAAGTTCTTTACGGTATCTCGCAATGAAAGGAATTGTCGCACCATCATCTAGCAGTTTAATGACATTATTAACACTCCTTCTTCGCAAGTTTAGCTTGTCTGAGATTATAGCAGCAGGTTCCCAGGCTGGGGAAATTTCTTTCACTTTTTCTTTTACATCGTCATCTGCCATGGTTTTATTATGGTATATTTTTCTTGTTCTTTATTATTTCTGAATTTAATGAAAAGTTAAGAGTTCAGACTTTTCGGGCACTGACTTTTCAGCCTAAAATTCATTTTATTTTTATAATTTATATAAAATAATAATAAAGGGCTCATTATTAGTCACCCTTTGGTACACACCATTAAACTTTTTTTCATACTGTGACTGTGACTATCGCTTAGAATCACTATCAATGATCAATTATTGTTATTATTATTTATTATCACCTGTCCGAGTCTGTGTGTGTGTGTGGTGAGTAACTTACAGTTGCCTATAACTTAATATAACGACATGACACTAGTTTTAAACTCATGATAACTAAGACTAAGATGTACTGCCAGTTTGAAGTAAACTTTAAACTAAAATGATTAATTAATATTAATACTGAAATATGAATATGCGATAGTGATACTGATACTGTGTGTCATCTGAGTGAAACTCAATTCGCGCAAATACTGAAGTCCGTAAAGTAGTCATAAAGTTTAAAAAAAGCCTTGTTACTTTATTCTTAAGATTTTCGTTTCAAGAATCAACGAGACATCAAGAATGAAACTTTATCAGTGATTAGTACTAAATATAAATCAGGTAATCTAATTTTGACTTATGGACTGAAAACATTCCATACATATGACACGGCTTCCAGTAATATTTTTTTTAAAAATTAATTCAGATTTAGTGGCAGTAGCCTCAGTAGCACATAAGTCTGAAAATGACATTTTGGCAAACAATATTTGTTTATAATTTAAAAACCGGAAACACTTTTATTGACCTTTGCTGAACACAAAAAGCGAAAGTAGCTTCGGTCCGTAGCTTCTATTCTCTCGGTATGTCTATGGACTATTATTATTATTGATACCGTGTATGCCATAATTGCTGATTAGTAATTAGTCTAATGAACTCAAATGTATGCATTTTTTCTATTGTTAGCATAGCATGAAACGCGGCGAGATTTTTTTTGTACTAATATCACCTATCCGCAAAGTCAAACCCAGGCCCAGGGGGCAGAGTGAGTGCCTCCTTCCTTGGCCTTGCACTTACAATTATTAAATTTTTCTCTGGTTTCTGAAAGACACCTACCTAGCAATAACTATAACATTTATTTCTAATTATGATCCTGAATCTACACAATTTCTTATTAATATTATTCAATTCAAGTTTTTTGTTTAGTAATACTCATTTTTTAAACTTTTGTTTGAAATATTAAAATTAAATAATTAAATATTGTTCTGTGTTGGTTAATCAACTTAGACTTTAAACTTTAATCACTTAATCTTAATCCCATTTTTAATTTAATTTTAACGTGATTTATAGTAATATTGATCTATATTTATGTGTAAATTGTACCATACTGATTAGTCATTAGTGCTACACTAACTAGTCTAGTCTTATAAGCTCACATTAAGGCCAATTTAGGTGTCACATTTATATAATTATAATAAGACATCTTAATATGTTATTATAATTATAATCGAAGTGTCTACATGTCCAGCGCGCTGGACAAATAGTGCTGGAGATATACGTCCGGCGGGCATGTCACGTGACCGCCGGACGACTAGTAGGCGTCATTATTCCGGCAGGTCATGTGACAAGTGGTCGCCTGCAAAAATAGTTGCATTGCATTTGATACTCCGATCCCTAGATAATAAATAAATGCTGAACATGTTATTATATTCAAATGCTCTGAGATAAATAAAGTGTTTGAGTTTGAATATTAAACTAGTCGGCCTATATACTAACTAGTAGTACTATTACTACTACTATTACTAGTGTATTTGATTCCGACTCTTCAAAGAAAAAAGTCGCTTATCTTGGTTAATACTAATACATCTTGTAAAGCTCTACCTTGCCCTGAAGCCTAAATTTAAAATATGATAAAAATAAAATAAAACTAGTAGACTTCGATAGACCTTTGTCAATAAAGTTGTATTTCAGGATTAGTATTTAGTATTGCATGAGAAGTAGGCTAGGCTACCACTATATCGGCCCTATATTAAGATGTAGGGTATATTTCTTTGTGAACTATCGGCCTCCCGGCCTTAAACGTAATTATTTATCACCCCCACTATTATTTTTTTTTAGCATTCTTTTTTTTTTTTATTACCGTAATACTCTCTCCCTCTCAGCATTGCTTCCTGCCAGAATGAATTATTGCTTAATCCCCACATCATTTTGGTAATATACCGAAGTATCTTTTTCTATTATTTGTTTGCAAGATACTCAGTAAATTACTTGGTAGAGAAATAGATTTTAAAATTAACAATAATTTTGAATCATTCGTGGCCACGTGACAAGGCTGACGGACAAATATCTCGCACCAATTTGTTACGGCGGTCATGTGACTTGGTTGCCGGACAAGTATCTAGATAAATTATTATTCTGGCGGTCAAGCGGCCGGACAAATAGTGCGGGAGATATACGTCCGGCGCGCCGGATGTGTAGACACTGCCTATTATAATTGTACTATAGAGTATATTTGACTATATTATATATTATATTAAATTTATAATATATAAATAGTATAGCATTGATTAGCATAGCATAGCTTATTTTTTATAGTGTGGAGGCTAAGGCCTAAGACGAGGCTAATATAACTAATTAATGTAATTTACGGGTATATAATAAGGGCAAGGGGCCTAATTTATACTAGTACTAGACTTGGGTTAGTTGGTTAGCACTAGTATTAAAATTAAAAAGTATATTATAGTTATAGGCCTACTATTAGCCTATTTGCATGGCATGGGCTTAGTTAATTACTAATTTTATTATATATACCTAGGCCTAGGCACTTTGTTAGGCTTTAAAAATTAGGCCTACATATTTTTAGTTTTTTTTGCCTATGTTTATTTTGCAGCACAAAACAGAACAGGTCTTTAAAAAGGACCACACCACCATGTCTGGAAAGTAAGTTAACTTAAATGTCAATGACTGTACATTTTTGTTGCATTGGTTAAAATATAATACAATTTTACATTCAATTTTATTTGTATAATCCTCCCCCATTGTACTCCATACATTTCTAACCCCCCCCCCCCTTTCCCACCCCCAATCATTTAATGTTAAATTTAAATGTCAATGACTGTACATTTTTGTTGCATTGGTTAAAATATAATACAATTTTACATTCAATTTTATTTGTATAATCCTCCACCATTGTACTCCATACATTTCTAACCCCCCCCCCCCTTTCCCACCCCCAATCATTTAATGTTAAATTTGGACTTTATTTTATCTATACTAATCTCTATACTTAATCTCTTGTAAAAAAATTATTGGTTAAGAATGTTGAGATTAGTAATAATGTATGAGTAGAGTCGATTTTGCCAACTCAGATTTTACAAAGTGTTGATTATCAAAACAGCAAGTTTTTAAAAAATAATTTTATTATATTATTGTATGCTATGCACATGGCATGGAACGTTTTTTTACAAACACAGAAAAACAATCCCAAACCCTGTCACACAATCATGGTAAAATCTAGATATGTACTGTTCTGGTACAAGAAGCGATAATAAGACTGATAATGTAATCTGCAAACTTTTTCATTCGAATAAATCACAGAACAAACATCTACAAAGACAAAGTTACCTTACATTTTATTCAAAGCACCAGTCATATAACTCTGGAAACCACCTCTTTTTGTAGATTAAAAGAATTCCAGCCCCTGTCGGGGCATCAATAAGCTGGCACATGTACATCATGTGGTTTACAGTTAAAACAATAAAGCACTGTTTCTCAACATGGGCCATATTTCTCAGCCTATTACTTAGGGGCCCTTAAAATTTTGAAAAAATGACATTATGAATTTAACAGTACCAGTGCATAAAAGAGCAGTTATTAGATAACATGGAAGGATCCATGGAGCCAAATAATGAAATGTTAAAGTAGGCAGAAGGCTAGAAAAAATGTTAAATGCTGCAATAAAGCACCATATGTTATAACTATAGGTTAAGAATATTTTGTTTTCTTGGTACTGGCATCTTTAGTGAATGAAACCTTTCGGGGACATTATATGGTTATCCTAAACATTAGTTATCCAAAACACCTCCGGTCCCAATTGGTTCGTAAATTCGACACTACTGTGTTTGTAATTGTAGGTAAGGCACATTTTCCAGGTTATCTCGTTTAAAAAGAATTTCTGCTTTAATTCTTTCTTCATAATGAGTTCAACTGTTATGAATTGAAATAACTAATTTTTTTTAAAATACATATCATTAAAACATTGGGATCTGGACAAGAAAAATAAAACAAAAATAGAAAAATGAAAGTTACAGATTTTATGGCACAAAACACAAACGAAATACCTGGTCATGTTAACAGAATTACTCTATTTCAATTCTTTTAGGGTTGCTGTGGTGATGCTTGAGAGTCTCGCAGGAACTGGACACAAAATCTTTCGCCAACGACTTAAAACTGCAGAAAAGCTAGAATTTTTATTCTTTGATCCCATGGGTAATAATAAAATCTATCATCATCCATATATACAGTTACATTTGACACTTTTGTAAAAACAAAATTCATAAAGTCAGGGGCGTATAACCCCCCCCCTCCTCTTAGTGGTAGAAGCCAACCCCCTCCCCAGTGGACCATTCATAAATTCTGTGGGTAATGGTATTGTTATTTAGTTCAAAAGTTCACTATGAATATTAGTAATAAAAAAAATGTGCAGTTAAAAAATTGTCAGATCACTGTTTGCTGTCAAATAATGATATTGTTGACAAATGATTATAATATCGCAAACCGCTCAGTAATATTTCACAATTTTCAGCAAATGAAATGATCAAATCCGGTCAGTGTTCACAAAATGAATTTTAGTGGGCCAAAAATTTATTTTTACTATTAATTCTTAAAATTCAAACTTCGGGATGTGGGAGGCTGTGTGGCTGTGCGATCAAAGATGTGTCATTTAAAACTTTTTGGGTCATGGCTCAATTCCCAGCAAGTTAAAGTAAAACAATAGCAACACTAATTTCAATTATTTTAAACCTGGAGTCCCTGGAGTTGGACTCCCGTTTTCGCTTTGACATTGACTCTACTCCTGCTACGCTCCTGGTGCTGAATGTGGAACCAGCTTTTGCTTGTAACAAAAAACCCAGGCCTTGTGATTTTTTTTTTTCTTCCTTTGCTATATTAAATTTGTTACTTGAAGAATTTCAAATGCTGGCCTATGGGATGGCGGTTAGGGGGGGGGGGGGGGGGGGTGGAAGCAACTGCTTCCTTCTTTCCCACCCCCCTCTGCGTCAGACGCCCCTTCATATAATTCTGATCAGCTTTAATTGGAAAGCGAATCTTGCTTCACTCTGTCAACTTAATACAGGATTTTAAAAAAGAAAAAAAAAAGAAGGAGAAGAAGAAATCTAACACAGAAAACTTCTATATTAATTAGTCATTAATTCATCCATTCCTTGGTACCTGAGGCAAAAAGA